AAAAAAGCAAAAGGGTTTGGGCCCAGGCCTGGGACCGGTCCCAAGCCTAGACATTGGAGGAGGGCTTGATCTAGGGACTAGTCCCTCCTCCATGGGCCTGGTCTGGGTTTAGGACCAAACCCTCCTAAGATTGGTCCTACGACCGGTTTTTGGGGCCGATTTTTTGAGATCAGTCCCAAATGCCGAGGTCTACTGTGAACGTTAGGTTTGCGGTGAGGTTGATTTGGTCCAATGGTCGCTTTATACTCTACAGCTCGATGAAGGGGCACAAAAAAGACTCTATCAGCTTATAGAAGCAGATGCATTCACACGTGACATATATATTGGATATGTTATCATAGTCGTCTTATTGGATTGATTCCGAACAACTTCTTTGTGCGGGACCCCTAACTCTATTGAGGCGAGACAACATGCCACAACAGGGTTTGGGTTTGGGTGACTATGGGGTATTTACGTTGAAGTTCATCAAGTACCTTTGTCTAGGGCGACCATTTAATTTTGTTGGTAGTGATGGGAGATTCATTAAAACCAAGATGGCGATCGAGTTATTTTATGGCGATTTAGGGATTTAGTTTATTGTATCATCCTTGTATTTATGTAAACTTATTTTGATTATATACATGTCACTTTCGTTTCACATTTCCCAACTTCAAACGTTCTATATATAAACGTCATACCCATAACAAAGACATGAAACAGTTAACAACATAACATCATATCTAGAATTGGATCATGCCTAGCCTTGGTCTTTGTGTCATCAACTAGTGGAACTTCGTTAATGGTTTTAGTGTCACATGCAATGTAGTTGGTATCAACAAGGGAGGGCATCTAATATCATTTGCACCGGAGTAAAAGTACATTGTCTCTTCACATTCTGGTTCATCCACGAGAATATTGTTCATTCATCATTACACTCGAAGCAACTCTAATTCGGTACCTTTCGCTTCCACCCATTAACCCAATCCTCAATAGTTTCCAATATGTCTAAACCAAGCACATCCATAACATGCAGATCCTCAACCTCTACATTAGCATTACCCTCCTCTTCACCATCCCGAGGGGCTTCAACTTCAAAATTAGTCCTTGAGGGAAAACGGTATTATCCTAATAATTCTGGATTAGAAGGTTCATCGGTCATATTTATTGAGTCGCTACATTGGTTACTATCACTTTTGGATATATGTGCTCCCCAACCAACAACCGGAGACAATTTTCTCGCATTTACAATATGTTTGACAAAGAGAGGAGCAAAAGAGTTGACGTTGTTCTGACAAAAGGCAAGGTAACAAGCAATATCATATCATCCTCGATGTCGTAAAACATTCCATTGATTGCATCCTTGGGTTTCATAGCTATCCAAATAGTATTCCTTCTGCGATCAATACGTAGACAATCGCTCAACAACTCAATCAATCCATCATACATCATATTACGATGAAGTTTAAGCATTTTCTATTTTCCTCCAACATAACTCATTGTGTTATCATCCGTTGTCCATTTAACCACATGTGTCATTGTTAACAATCCTTCGATATAAATATATGAGATATAAGAACATTTGAATCCCCAAATTGAAAAGCCTATTAAAAAAAAAAAAATGACTTTGCGTGATTTATTTTATGAAATAATTATTTAAAAAACTTTTTTTAAGAGTCCAATTGAAATATGACCTATTTTTAATTGGCTTAGTAAATAAGACTTTTCATTCAATTTCTTTTCACTTTTACCCTCTTCACTCTTAACAGTTAGGAAAAACCACTCGAGTGCTCAGAGTCGCTAGAGTCTAGTCAACTCTAGCGTTGAGAGTTAAAAAAAAAAAAAAATCATTTTTTATATTTATAAAATTAGAATAACTCTTATATACGTTTACTATCCTGTTTTAAACAAATATATATTTTTTATTTCTTAATTTTGTTAATAAAATATTATTAGTTAATTTAAAGAAATTTTTATATTTAATTTCTAACACTAATTTGGAGAATAATTATAAAAAAAAAATTCTAGTAACTTTAGTGCTAGAGTCATTTGACTCTAGTGCTAGAATCACTTTAATGCTAGAGTAAGAGCATGAAAGTTGTAGAGGGGTAAAACTAGAACAAAAGTAGATGAAACATCATATCTACTAAATCAATTTAAAAAATTGTCGTATTTTAACCTGTCGAAAGATCTTTTAAGTAGTTTTCTCATTTTTTCACAGATTGGCGTGATTTTTCACACTATTAATATAAATATTTGACTTGGCTTATAATATCATGCCAACTAGGGAATATATGTAAACAATCCCTCAGTTAGCATGATACTTTACGCCAATTGGAAAATCACGCCAATTGAGCGCGTTTTTCTCTATACGCTAATTTCTCGAATAATGCATCCCTAAATCTACTTTATCACTACAACATAATTGGCATTACATCATTTATTCACTCATAAATCTTAAAACAAACTCAGATTAACCAAAAATCAACACAATAATAAGACGCAATCATTCTAAGTTAAGATTATAAAAAAAGATAGATTTAAGAATTTAAAGTTAAGATTAATCTTAATATCTGGATATATTGATTTTCCTTACTTGATATTGTGTTTTGGGTGTGAGATTTTGCAAATGGGACTCTTTGCAATTGATAGGGCTAGGGATAAAGTATTGAGAGGTTAGGGATGAGGGTAAAATTGTATTTAATTAAATTAGTTGGTTAATCAGTGTAGGGTCCAGTCTTATGGTTGCTTACGTAAATGCCCCCTAAAATATGGTTATTTTAATTAAAAACCCTTTTAAGTCCACATTAAAGATTTCAAGTTATTTGTGACACATCTAATATTCTTAATATCAAATCTTCTTAATTTCAAGTTTGACATTTCTAGATTCATATTTAATGTTAGAAGTATCGTATATGTTGTTCTTGGTACCGAGTTTCTTTAGTTTCAAATTTAATGTTAATAGTTTAAGGTTTTGTGTTGTAACTTTCAAATATTATGTTTATTTTTCACGTTATATTTATAGGTTTCAGTTCCATGCTGAAGGTCTGACGTGCAATGTTTTTGGCACCATGCTTCATTGTTCCAAGTTTAATATTATTGGTTCTACGTTTCACATTATATTATTCAACTAATTTGATATAAATTTCAAAGTCTATTTTCTAAATACCCTCAGAATTTATTTATTTTATTTTATTTTTTTATACCAATATTTTGATCAGTTCCAAAACTAATAATTGTCAATTTTCACACATAAACTTATAATAATAAAATAAATTGTACTACTTATCTAAATTGTATATGATTAATTTAATTATGGAAATATCATAATAAACATTTTAGCTAAATTTTTGCTGAAAAATTGTACATTAAAGAATCTTAAAAGAAATGTGTAGAATTTATTAATCAGTTCGTATTACAAATAATTATATTCTATAACTTATCAATATTGGTGCTAAGTCTTCTTCGATTTTATATATCACCAAAAATTACTTTCTCCATACTCACTTGCATCAATAATGCTATGAACATCGGGATTATACACCGAATTTTTACATCGAATTACGTGTCATTGCACTCAGACCAGTCACGTATCACGTTAACAAATATTTTACAAGTGAACGACCGTTCACTGTTATTGGACGGATGTCCATCAAAGGTGGACGCTCGTCCATGCGAAATGAACAATAGACTCTCATCCATATTATATAGAGGGGAGTACATTTACTATAGACGGATGTCCACTTATAATAGACACCCGTCCATAGTTTAAATTTAAAAAATTTGAAAACAAAAATCATGGACTCCCGTCCATATTCAATGGACGGGGGTCCATACTAATGGACGAACGAACACCTTTAATGGATACTCGTCCAAACTATAAATTAAAAACAAAATTAATGGACTCTCGTTTAAATGTTATGGACGGGCATCCCTTAATAATAGATGAGCGTTCACCATTATTGGATCTCCGTTAAAATTATGTTCAACTTAATGGACGTCCATTCAAATTTTTTGAACGGGCGTCACTTAATAATGGACGGGAGTCCACCTTGAGTTGAGTGGACTCTCGTCCAAACTTTAAATTTTATTCTCCTTGCCTGTGGTGGGAACAATTGCACGACACTTTTGCTATTTTTGCTGTTCTTCTTAATTAATTTCCCATTCTTCTGGAATTCCTCGTCTTTTACCTTCATTCGACTCATCTGTTTCTTGAGGGATCTGCAGTCATCTTCCACTGCTGCTTTCTCCCACTCTTCATCTGTGTTTGTTGTGGAGTGTGAAGCATCACGGGGATTGTTGTTAGGGGCATGAACCCCTGCGGCAGCTCTAACCTGCTCAAAAAAGAGAACTTGCACCACAACTCGGAGTGGCAGTTGTTCGTTCAGCGCCGCGTGCATAGATGCATCTATTGTCAGTTTTCTGACATCCATCAGCCCACGTATCTTCCTTCTTTCAGCCTTTGTCAAGCTTGGGTGCTCCTGATGATATATTAATAAATCAGTACTTCATTATCAGTAATTAATGCTTCACCATTAGACATGAAATTTCTACTTTTGCATCTTTCTTGCATAAATGGTTTTATGATCTGGAACTAAAGGGGTCCTTGTGATTAATGAGCTTTATTCTATTTTCATGATTCTAGAATTCAACTTTACAACGCCTTGCTTTCCAGCTGAGTTGAGTAGGAAATTTATTTTGCTGGACGCATAACGTTTGCAATTCCAGAATTCAATAAATGTCAAGCAAATTCAGAACAGGTCAGTGAACTATAAATATAAACTTCTAGATGATTTACTAACAGTGACTTTCCAAATAACATACTTACATCGGTCACATTTGAAATCGTTCCTGCATGGCTGAACTTCACTTCTAGATTAAGTCACAGAAAAAAAAGATTAGCATGATATCAACACTATAAGGTCAAGAATATGTTGCTTTCATGCAACTATGAAAGAAAACAGATTGTTTGTACATCTAAATTTGAAATACTCTGTAAGTCCACTGAGGAATGGCTATCATGCATGAGTAGAACTGCTGGTTTCTTTGACAGACCAATTATAGAACAAAGTAGGAAAATGTTATACTGCTATAGCATGGTAAACTTACGAAATGAAATTTCCAATTCAAGCATCTGTCCCTAGTCAAGACGAACTTTGAAAATAAAACAAATGGAAAAGAAATGAGATTGGATAACAAAAAATGACTAACTATAACAAGCAAACTCCTTGATGAATTGATAGTTATCAATGCCACTTAAGCTGTAATAATAACAAGCATTAAGAGCAACTTACAAGTTGCTTTTCACTGAAGAGCTTCGGAACAAGTTCAGAGATAGATCCCTACTGAAGTAACAGAAAATGAAGTCAATATCAGCACTTAGATCCATGACAAGTAATTGCAAAATACAGAAGTAAACATAGCAGATTATTCATTATACTGACCGTCTGTCCTGACAAGCATATTGCCCAGGGCTTAGCTGAGTGAAATTATTGTACGAGAGATCCCTGCATGCAAGAAAGATGCAAAAGTGGAAATTTCATGTCTAATGGTGAAGCAATTTCTGATAATGAAGTACTGATTTATTAATATATCATCAGGAGCACCCAAGCTTGACAAAGGCTGAAAGAAGGAAGATATGTGGGCTGATGGATGTCAGAAAACTGACAATAGATTCATCTATGCACGCGGCGCTGAATGAACGACTGCCACTCCGAGTTGTGGTGCAAGTTCTCTTTTTTGAGCAGGTTAGAGCTGCTGCAGGGGTTCATGCCCCTAACAACAATCCCCGTGATGCTTCACACTCCACAACAAACACAGATGAAGAGTGGGAGAAATCAACAGTGGAAGATGACCGCAGATCCCTCAAGAAACAGATGAGTCGAATGAAGGTAACAGATGACCGCCCGTCCATAATTTTTGTTTTCAAATTTTTTAAATTTAAACTATGGAGGGGTGTAATAGCCACTTTCTACTCAAATACTTATAATGAAATACATATAAAATAATATAAAGAAATTGGGCCCAAAATTTTCTTTTTATTAAATATATATATATTTATATATATTCTTTACAACATATACATTTTTACACAAAATTATAATGTGTACAAAAGTCATCAAAAACATAATAGACAGTGTAACCGCTTCTCCTCGAGCGACAACATCCATCCGATCGTGTCCTCACCTAGATCCTGCAAAACATGGGAAAACAAGGGGTGAGCACTAAAATAATGCTCAGTAAGTAATCATCCACTCATCTATCCCTGTAACTCTCTCTCTCTAATTCTTTCCTTACAACTTCATTCAATTTCTCTTTGGTACTTCTTCTCTCTCTCTCTTTCTCTTCTCTTAGAACTCTTTTCTATTAACTTTCTTTAGTAAGTCACGGCCCCATCTTACCGGAGGCACGTCGGGACTCGCTCCCACTCTACATGACCTCTAATCATTCTAGCCGATCAGATTCGGTTATGCATGGATTCGGAACCCTTGGCCACGTGAGTGTTAATTCTCTCTCGGGCACTGGGTATAGCCCTCATCCGGATGCACTCTCACGGGCTACACCACTCTCTATCACATACTCATACCGCTCTCTCAATGCGGCGTATAGGCGGAATACTCTACCCATTACTCACGGGTTCCCCATGCATAACCTACTCTATTCTCTTTCTCTTAGCTCTTTCTTTACTATGTCTCAAGCTACTTCTTAAGTGCATAAAAAAAAGCGTATAGAAGCTCATGTCACTAATGTACTTATGAAATGACAAATACAAGATTCCTCAAAATAGTCATTCTGTATAGGTCACACTAAAAAGGCCATAACTTGCGTTGTACACCTCGGATTGCTACGGTTTTGGTCTTGTTTTAAAGCTTAGAAACAGGGCCAAACTTCTATGTTTTGGTCTCAGCCCAGTTCAATCCGTAAGATGCCCAAAAATTACTTAGAAAGTCACGGTAGTGACATGGCAGATTTCCTAAGCATTCATCAAGTACTCAATGCGCCATAAAAACACTCTACTAAAAATTATACTATACTTCATTCTCTAGCCATCCAAAATGGGAGAAAAACTCCCTCATATAACATAATCCTTGTCAAGAAAAGCACTTCCAAAAAGGTTTACACAACATCTCTCAACTTCACTCAATTCCATTTCTCATCACACATCAAAAACACTCTCATATAAATATTCATCTCAACTCAATTCTCAACAACATAACATACTTATACAAGCATACATCTCTACTCAATCTTTAAATCTCTACTCAAAAACTTATCAAAACTCAAGTTGGTAGGATTTAATTACCTTGTGAAAAAGTGACTTCTTTAGCACTTTTCCTTTCCTTGTTGTCTTGTCTTCTCTCTACAACTTAAAACAACAACAAGAACAATAACAACCAAATAAGACTTCACTATAACTATTGAAAACTCACATCTAAAGCATGAATTCTTATCTTAGGATGCTTTAGATGAAATCTCTACTCAAATTTACTCAAAAGCTCTCTTAAATCCCTTAGAAATCTTGGAAGATTGGATGGAGAAATCGAGAGAAATTAGGCAAATGGAAGAGGCGGTGGAAATGAATGAATAAAGGGTTTCTCTACACTTTAACTCTTTTTAGCACATATTATAAGCATCCTTTCCCATTTTGCCCTGCCCTCCTTAGAAATTCCATCTATATCCTTTGATTCTTTACAACTACACCCCCATCCAAACACAATCTCTACTAAATTTTCTTACATTTTACTCCCCACTTTTCCTACTAATTAGGGGTAGACTGGTCATTATGCCCCAAAAGAAGAATTCTCTAGAAAACTCAAGAAACTTTTTATTAGGCTCGTCGCCGCGGCGAAGCACTTTCCGTCGCCCCGGCGAAACAGGGCAGAACCTACCCGTGGGTGCAGCTCCTCTCACCGCGGCGAAGCTTCTTCTTCGCCCCGGCAAAGATTGGATTTCCAAACTTCACCAAAATTCAACCAATTTCAAGGCAACCATTCAACCAACTCAACATACCATTCCAATTAAAGACTCACCAACCAACCCTGACAACAAACAAACTCAATTGAAACTGAAACAGTAAACTTTAACTAATACAGCAAATCTAAATATGTACCTCAAGTGGGATATTACAAGGGGCGTCCCTTATAGGTGGACATTCGATCATTGTTCATTTCGTATAGCGGGCGTTTACCTTTGATGGACACCGTCTAATAATAGTGAACAGTCGTCTATAGTGTGATGACACATAATTCGGTATAAAAATCGATTGCACAGGTTTTCCTCTTGTTTCGATCTCCAAATGTAAATCCTGGTTGAAGATATTACTCCAAATTAACTTAACCCAAGGATATTAAGCTCCGATCAAAGGATAGAAGGTTATGGGCTTATTTAATATTTTTTTAATATAAAATTTGGTACGGTTTTGTATAATAATTTTAAGATTTTGTAAGCTGATAATTAGAAATTAAGGTGATATTCTTTATCAGGTTTTAAAATATAATTTGAAAATGAAAATAAAAATAAAAAATTGAATTTTGTATTTTCGAAATTTGAGAATGGTGTTTTTTTTTTTTCTTAATACAATATAAGCAAATAAAAAAAATTGAATTTGTTATTAACTTTTTATGACAAATATGAAATATTGTAATAAAATCATTAAAAATTATAGTAATATTAAAAAAACCATCTAATGAAATAATTTTTTTTAGAATAAACTATGTTGATGAATAGGTTTGACAGAGATTTGCATATGAGAGGAAGGCATGCTAATATGAAAATAAAAAATGAAGATTTTGATATCTTGTGATGGATAGATATCCCTCTCACCCTTCAACATGATTCCAGATTTTATCCATACATATCTTACAGATGATTTTCTCATCAGATGATGGGACAATCTCAATTTGTTTTAAAAATTGATCATTAAATGGGTGGGATAAATTGATTGTTTATAAAGGAATATATATGAAAAAATATATATTTATTTTAAAATTGTACCACCCAAAATCTTACAATCGCGTAGTGTATGCATTGCCTTATAAGGTAGCTAAACAACGTAATCTCTTTCCCCAGAAGAAAGATGGTGCAATGGCTATGCTATGCCTATTTCTGAGCTTCGGTTGAGTTTGTGCCCACACCCTATTCCTTGCCGTGTTTCCAACATCAATACACTTGAGTCATTTCATCAACCCTACTCCATCTCTATTTATTAATCATGCACGTCTCAAATCACCGACGCTTCTGTTAATATTTCACCAACACTTTAATTAAACCTAACTCAACATTCTTCTCATTCACTCTAATATAATATATGATTATTAGTTTGGATTCTAGTGGATAGAGAATATATATATATATATACACCCATCATGCTGATCCCGTTCTTCTCAAATCTAATTATTTATTTCATATCGCAATTACAATAACAATTATCTACTTTGTTCACATTAATTGAGGCCAGGACACGTACCATATTCGTCGTGTTTCTCAAAACTTAAGACCAAAAGGAACATGTTGATAATGCTGAAATACTAGACTTTATTAACCTGCTCATCACTAAAAAAAAATGGAAAAATAGAGGATATTAATAAATAATTAGGTGAAAAGGATTAGCTGTCTATCTTTTCATATATATATAAATAGGTCTTACGAGTGTTGTTTGTCATTTGAGGAAAACACAAACATGGGAGGCTCTTTTCCTTCTCCCTCCTCTCTTTTCTGCCTCTTCTCATACTCTTCTCCATCCTAAATGCTAAACCAGCTAAGGGGTTTCCTCTCTCCACCAACTCGAGATGGATCGTGGACGACCAAAGCGGGCAACGAGTGAAGTTAGCATGCGTGAATTGGGCGTCACATCTCGAACCAGTTGTTGCAGAGGGACTTAGCAAGAAGCCGGTGGACGTCATCTCCAAAGGGATTTTGGCTATGGGATTCAATTGTGTTAGGTTCACTTGGCCAATCTATTTGGCCACCAATGATTCCTTGGCCTTTCTCACAGTCAGACAGTCTTTTCAGAATCTTGGTTTGACTGAAGCCATTGCCGGTATTCAGACAAACAACCCCTCTATCATTGACCTTCCCCTCATAGAAGCCTTCCAGGTGCGATGAACTACCATCTATTGCTTAATAATTTTACAGGTTTTGAGTTTGGTTGATCTTATCAAGAATAACCGGTAAGTCTTGATTGTTTTATGACTAGTCGATGTCGTATAACATACTTATATAAATATTATATTGTATGTTAGTTGAAACTTACGTAGGATGAATAGTTTATTGGGATAGGAAAAGATAAGCTATTGCCCATTTATGATGAAACCAATGGATTTATAGAGACGTGAATGATTTTTCTTAACCGCGTCTAGCGTATACAATGATGTTAATAAAAGTGCCATTAAATAACGTTTTATTTGGATCATATAAATTTGTTTTAGGAATCTAGGTGACCAACCACTATGTAAAAATAGTTGGACATTTATATTTAAATAATAAAACGCCATTATTGCCATAATTTCAGGCAGTGGTATCCAACCTTGGGGACAACAATGTGATGGTGATATTAGATAATCACATAACAAAGCCAGGTTGGTGCTGCAGTAACACTGATGGCAATGGATTCTTTGGCGACCAGTACTTTGATCCGCAACTGTGGATCAATGGTCTCACCAAAATGGCTACTCTGTTTAATGGAGTCACTAATGTTATTGGCATGAGCTTGAGGAATGAACTCCGAGGCCCCAAACAGAATGTAAATGATTGGTACAGGTACATGTACATTCATGTATTTCTGCAATTACAAGTTTTAATTTAATTACCGGCGTTGTATGAATTTTCTAACAATCAAAGTCTAATTCCCTACATGAATTCATGTGCTAGATATATGCAGAGAGGAGCTGAAGCAGTGCATTCAGCAAACCCAAATGTTCTTGTTATTCTCTCCGGCTTAAATTTTGACAAAGACTTATCATTCATTCGCAACCAACCAGTGAGTCTCACGTTTACTGGGAAGACAGTATTCGAGGTACACTGGTATAGTTTTACAGATGGGCAGGCATGGGTAAATGGTAATCCAAATCAAGTGTGCGGGCGAGTGGTGAATAATATGAAGGGTTCATCAGGGTTTTTGTTGGACAAAGGGTGGCCATTGTTGGTGAGTGAGTGGGGAGTGGATTTAAGGGGAACCAATGTGAATGATAATAGGTATTTGAACTGCATCTTGGGTGTGCTAACTGAGCTTGACTTGGATTGGGCATTGTGGACGCTAGTTGGGAGTTATTATTTGAGAGAAGGGGTTGTTGGGTTAAATGAGTATTATGGAGTATTGAATTGGAACTGGGGTGAGATCAGAAATTCAAGCTTTTTACAGAGAATATTATTTCTTCAATCTCCATCTCGAGGTAAAATAACCTAACTTAATGGGAAGACCAGGAAAAACTGAAAAAAGTCCTTGTTGGTTCAGAAATTATAGATAATGATTCATAAATCTGAACTTTTGTTTTGCAATGCAGGACCCGGTTTATCAGAAAGATCTTTGCACAAAGTGATTTTCCATCCATTAACAGGTCTCTGTGTCCTCAGAAAATCATACTTTGACCCTCTGAGGTTGGGTCCTTGTACCGACACAGAACCATGGAACTACACACCCCAGAAGATTTTATACCTGAAGGGGACATATTTCTGCATACAATCAAACGGGTTGGGGAAGCCAGCTAAACTTGGCATAAAATGCACCAACTCTAATACAAGATGGGAAATCATATCAGATTCTAAGATGCACCTGTCATCTCAGGCAAAAGATGGCACTACTGTTTGCCTGGATGTAGACTCAAGCAACACCCTGGTTACAAATACCTGTAAATGTTTGGGTACAGATAAAACATGTGATCCGGCAAGTCAGTGGTTCAAACTCGTTGACAGCACTAGAAGTTCAACTACAACTAAATCATTCTTACAGTTCAACCCGAGTTTGGATTTACCTGGAAAAGATTTCCTATGGAAATTATTTGACTCGTTCTGATGGCAGCTCTAAATGCAACTAATAGACAACCAGGACATGGGAATTTACAGTTGGAAATGGCGAAATGCAGAATGCCGCCTCTACTAGAAATCAATTAAAGAATTCTGGGTCAACCTCATTAGTTAAAGAGTAAATGCAAACCTATTGTAATTAATTATGTTGGTCATTGCATGGGACATGACTCATAGTAAAAAATAATCACCATTGTACTTATAAATAAGGGTGTTTACAGTATACATACATGAAGTAAAAACCTAAAAAGATAAGAATAATAATATGTAATTTCCAGGTCAATTCCTTTTATGTCTATACATTTACAATCATTAAAATGCATGACCACAAAATTAACAGACAGAACGGCTGTACTAGCTCAATTAATCCGTGCATACTATGAAATCATGAAAACGAACATCTTATCACAGTTTGACAATTGAAATCTGTAATGTTTCTCCCTGGCTTGCACTTAAATTAAAATGCATGATAAAACATAAACAACCCGGAAGTGTAACAAAAGCAAAATCAGTCACAGAATGCAGTTCAACCTTATTCTTCCATTGCATCTCCTACTTCAATCACCTCCACCTTTTCTTTCAATGGTGTAATCTTTGTCAAAAGAACCTCTGCAACCAGGACAGAATTATGTTATCAAATTATCAATAAGACATAAAATAGCTTATACAACTATTGAAATGTTTGCAAAGTGACTTCACAAAGCTAATGACAGAGAGCAAAATGAAACTGATGCTGTAAAAATAGTTACTAACCAGTCTTCTTAGGAAAAGAATATCCTTTTGAACTGACATAGGAGCGAGGATTGGGCAACTGATGGTTTCTCAAATACTCTTTGTGCCCCTACACAACCAAGCATCATAAAAAAACAAGTTATTAATGACTGTCAAAGAAGTAATAACGAAATAAATGTACATACAGAAAAGGTTCTCCTCTCCAACAAAATTTAGGGAATAATCAATAAACCTTTGTTATCACACAAATGTCAACATTGCTTCCACTTCCCAAATCGTTAAATATGCCAGAGCAGATAGCCTCAGACACCAAACTTATTCCTTCTTCCTTCTGCACAAAAATACCATTAACTACTTTTTTCTTGAAAAAATATTATTGAGATAACTAAAGTAACAAATCTTAAAAACTGAATACAAAAATAACAGATATTTTCTGGCAGCCAATTGCTATCCAACAGTTTAGCATAACAACTTACAGTCAGCCCTTCGCGATACTTTGACTCAAAAACAGCCATTGCAGCAAGTGAACCAGAGCCCATTGTAGCAAATGGAAGTGTGTCTGTAGATCCATGAGGATAGATCTGTACAATATGATAATTCAATAACAAAAATCAGCACGACTTACATTAAGAGAACAAGAAAGTTCAGGTTGCACAAGTACAACTAACATACAATGTGTAGATGTGGCCCAGTGACATCAACTCCCCCGAGCACCAAAGCAGCTTGTACATGACCTTGGTATCTTGACAAATGAAATAACGAGTCAGAACTTCCTGGTTTATTTTTTGCTAAAAACAAAAACAAAAGCAGTTCTCAGGGCAGTATTCCCAAAATTGGCTCACTTGAAAAGATAAGACTTCAAAAGAGTAAGAGCTGTCACAACCCTTGATTCACGAGCAGTATGATATCGATGCAGCTGCAGCTGCGAACTAACCATGTCTGGAGACAATAATAATTAAACATAAACTAATCATAAGACTGACATTGAATTTTAAAGAGGAGATAAGAATATAACAGTTTATAATGTAGAATGCAAAAGCATTAGTTTTAATCATTGTCCTGGATGTTAAAGATAAAATTTGAAAGTACCTGTTACAGCCTCTGTATCAGCAGCAGTTCCAGCTCCACAACAGTAAATATTAGGTGCCATATAATGGATCTTCTCACAATTTTTATCACAAACAATGAACCCAGCAGTTGCTCTGGTGTCTGCTCCAAGGATGACTCCATCCTATAAAGAATTTAAGCAAAAAAGCAAAGTTGAATGACAAAACCAGAGCTCTAACAAAAGTAACAAAGAACCAGATACATAAAATATGCTTGATCAAAGTCATATGTACGTATCTAAACATAGAGAGGCTTGCAAATGATCACAAAATAACTTTAAACCAACAAAAATTTAAGCATAATGATGGACTCACAAGTCACAACTAACAAAATGCAACCCAGAAATATATCGTAGCTTCCATTTCCACACATAATCTATACATGCCTTGGAATAATTAAATATGAATCTTCTGGTCCCTACCACAGACACCCCATACTAAATTATAAGCTCCACAGTTGTATTTTTCTGACAATCTGAACAATAACTTTGCATAATCAAACATGCTCTGTCACTTAATATGATAACTTAATAGGTAGCTAAACAGGGTAATTAAAAGACAGCAATATCAAATATGCATAAATTCCAAACCAGTCAGAGTCAGCATTAAGTGTGATTCCCTAAATCAGCTGGTTCCAGCTGGTAAAGGAGCGGAGGATGGCAGTATGTAGATGGCCAGTGACAAAGTATACCCATTCTATCAACACGAATCCTAAAGAAATAAAAACGAACTCCATACCTCCCACTATAACATAAGTAACATAATATTCAAAATTCAAAACAAAAAATGCAAACAAACCAAACAAGGAGCTGAAAGTATATCAACTAACGGTTCTAAGATTATAAATACCTGAAAGATTAGACCAACAATTGTTGTCCCAGTCTTGCGATAAGATGGAGGCTTAGTGCCTTTCTTCGAAAGCATATCATTCCTCCTACATAAATCAAAACTAAACCCACCTTTTGAAGGAAGTTCTGTGACTGCCATACTTATATTGGAATTCAACAAACAAAACCTAATAATTGAAGACAGAAAAATGGCTTCATAAATCCAACATATCAACAACATTTAACCAAGCAAATAGCGTTTAACTAGAAGAATTTAAAGCAATTACATAAATAAATAAATGAATGATGTAACAAGATGTCTAATCCAAAAGCAAGCCACTGATGGTCATCGAGATTTTTTTATTGATTAAGCTTAAAACTCCAATGGTGACTAACATAATCGTTCAAATTCATAAATACAAGACATACATTCTCATTAAATTAATACATATAAAAATAAAAACCCTAGAATGCAAAATTTGCAGAACAAGCAGCCTTAGTTGAATCTAAATTTCCCGTTGTTAACGAGAAATGCGACCTAATATTTTCAGTTGTTCAGTAAGAGAAGAATTCAAACATACTATCAAATGGATCAAATACAATTAATTAGTTGGCTTAAGACGAACATAATTTATTTATTTTTCTTCTTTTCTTCACTTTTTCCTTGGCTTTCTAAGTAACCAAACAGAGGGAAGAGAAAAGGATTTACATTTAAATAAAAGCTGATTGGAACGAAACTTACTGAAAATGAAGGAGAAGAGATCGCCCGAAAGATGGATGAAAAATTCAAGTAATAGAGAGAACTGAAAGGCGCTGAAGCTTTATGCAGTCTGAGACTTGGAGTATAAGAAACTGAGGGGTTTCTTATTGATTTTATTATTTCGGTTAAAATTACAATAACTTTTTTATTTATACTATTGGTAAATTTGGCTATGTATTTATGCATAATTCGGATGCTATGATTCAATTGCCCTTTTGTTATCTTATTAATAACGGAATTCCCATTACAGGTAAATCTTGCGATTTGATCCTTAATTTAATATATATATTATGCCTAAAAAATCAAGACTGACATAGGCTCACGTCGACAAAGGCCAATCAGAGTTCAGGAAAACTTTGTGTCATCTAGACACTGCCACATTGCGCAAGGACGGAAGAGGTAAGGATGTTGTCAATATGGCAGGTGAAAGTCTGGCTTGTGAGTGGCTAGGAATTGTCCACCTGCCCAAGTCCTACGCGATTTAAGGATATCTCTTGTGCAGACAACCAATGGGAAGCATGTTAGAAAGCGTATCACACCTGCTCGACTATAGAATCATAATTGCTACTTTGAATCCCTCGACTATAAATAGAGGGTTTCTCTCTCATTTACAGGATTCACTCATTCTTTAGTTTTCTAAAGCAGACTCTCTCTTTGCATTTAAGTTTTTTCTAAATTGTAACTCAGCTCACTGTACGCAACCTTACTGTAATTATCCATTAATACATATATAGTGGATGTAGAATTCGCTTTTGAGCATCCGAACCACTTTAAAAATCGCTTTTGTCTCTTCTCTTGTTACACTTTTCTATATCACGTGTAATTTCTAAATCCGTTTAACACTTCACACATACGAGTTGTTGGTTGTTACGCCTAAGGAAATGAAGGGGTGACGTGGGAAGAGTCACGTGAAGGGCGACCTGCTCCCGTCAGTGCATCACGCACATGTCAGACCTGTCAAGTGATGTGGAGCCCACACGCGTCCTTTCTCCTGCCACAAGTCGTGCGTTGTCAGCTTGGAAAAAGGGAAATGGGACATAAAGCCTGATTATACACTGACAATCACACCAAACCACGGATTTAGCAATGATTATACATTTCAGTTCAGTATAAAATAGGGAAGACCCCTTCATTAAGGATTCGACCTTTTACATAAAAAAGAACAAACAGAAATCTCTCTCTCTCTTGTAAACTTTGCTTTGACTTTTTCGTCTGTTGTAAGTCAGCTCGCGACCGCGACCTGACACCCACCATATCATACAAATCAGTGGACTAGGACTGCTATCTTAGCATCCGAAACCTTAAAACTCCCTCTACAGCTATTTACTTTCCTGATATTCTATTTTCACGTACTCAAAGTCACTTGTATTATACACGTGAAAATTCGTGTTGCAAAATCGAGCATCAACATTGGTGTCGAAATCAATCATCAACAATATATATATATATATATGGTAATTAATCATTTCTTGGCGCATCTCGAACTCAAGATTAATATGTTTTTAATCATGCACTTTCTTCCATTCGGGCACGAGTGAGTGGTTTTTATTAACTTTGTTTTTTCTGATAGTAGAAAAGAAATTATGTATCACTACAATTAATTTTTCACCAATAAAAAATACTAATTAAATCATGACTTAATGATTTGACTATTTGATGGATGTTAATATAAAATATCCTCCAAAGAAATATCTCTCGGCCGTCATGATAATGGTATAAATAAACAGTATAGAAGTAATTTGGTAAGTATTTATTACTTTTATATAGTGTAATTATCAGTTAACTATGATCACTAAGAGTAAGAGGATTTTTGTTAT